CCCGTTTCCCGGACACACATCGTTAAAAATGTTTATTTTTGGCGAGTGTTTTACGGCGCTCGCAACTGCATGTCATATGAGCGTGCGTGACACATTAAACATTTATTTCCAGTTGGTAGGGAATTTTGAATTTTGCCCGGGTAGCGGCCGAAGCCTACTCTTATCGATTTTAGACCACCAAGGGATCTTTAACGTGCCTAACTTGCACACGGGACCTCCGAAATTTTTTGCCCTTGTCCGAGAAGGCTAGGTGTAGATCTTTCTTACCAGAAGATCAGTAGTGTGGCTGAAAGACAGCAATAAGAAAGAGCCACGGAGTAGCAGTAGAAAGGCTGCAGAAAGAGTCAGGAGCCAAATAGAGATGACAAAGGAGGTGAGGGGGTGGGGGCAGAAAGTGGAGACGCAAGCAGACGACAGAACATTGTTGGAGAGCAGGAAAGGAGGTGAAAGCAGACGATTTTAGAGAAGAAAAATTTTTCTATCGCTACCCGGATTCAAACCCGGGACCTTTGAAAGATGCAGATGACTTGTTCGGATTCCCACGTTCAAGAACTTTGGTTGCTAATGGACGTTTCAAGGATAACGTGGGTAGTTAAAATCGGAACGCCCATCTCCATTCGGGCGTTAAATTGTACAACATCCAACAACGTATCTTCTAGTGAGACAAGTTACCATTAATTACTCAACAGGACGACGACCCTTGCAACTAGATAATATGACGTCCTTGTCACTAAATATGGTTATGCAGCAAGTAGAGATACTTATTTTCAAAGTGAGCACCTCGATCATTCTATAGATAATTTCCTGTATAGATTTTACCCACTCCTTGTATTTTCATAACTGGCAAATTAAATCAACCTCGTCGACCTCCATGATGAGGCAGAATCTTGCTAGTGCGCTCAGTTAATTGGTTTCACGTTTACTCAAGGCACTTATACAGTGGGCTGGATTTATCGTAATGACTTCTTCCAATAGGTGTAATGTGTCTATTACCTTTCACCAACCATGGAAACTTCTTAGGCAAGAGATAATTGAACCCCCCCCCCTCCTCACTGCTCCACCACTTGGATATTGTTGGACACAAATTGCTCTTCTCATGGGAAGGTCGTCGCCATAGCACACTTCAGTGGTTTTGATTGGAAATTTTCTAATAAGAAAGCATAATATCGTTGTTGACTGATTATAGTACATCCTTAGATCTGATGTAAACTGACGTAGTAAATTTAGATCAATAGACAACTTCGGGAAAGTTAGGGTAGGTATATATATAAAAGGGTGACCAGCCTTCATGCTGAAGAGAGATCTTTTCATCAGCCTAACAATTCGTGGAGAAAGGTGAGGGCCTGAAAGCTTCGACCATGAAGTTTCCCGTGTTTGTCGCTGCAGTTTTGGCAGTTGTTGTGGTACCGGTAGTCGATTGTGCCCGGATAGTTCAAATCAAAAAGATGCGGGAGGCGCTGGAGTCGCCGAGGTCAAAGGTGACACTGGCCAGCCTGGCTTACTCCGCCAACATGGGACCCGGCACCGGTTTCCGACTCGCCAACGACGATCTGTTCCGGAGCGCCAAGGGCGTGAGTCGCCGGCGGCTTGTGGAGACTTACGGCGACCTGGAGGTGGTCGGTGCCACGGCAGCCGCGGAGACTGACCTGTCTGGTCAACTCACGGGCAACGTTTACGGACGCGTCGCTCTCGGGCTGGAAGAAGACATCCCTGACCCGGACGCGTGCCAGACACCTATTTCAGAGATGTTGGAGATCGCGATAAGAGCAGAGAATTATGACGTCAGCGACGAGCGCATTGAGAACAAAGACGGCCGCCGACTTGTGTACATAGATCCTGACACTCACCTCGCCTCATTGGCGTATCGTGTGGAGTTTTTCTATGCCGGTCAGCGAGTGGTCAGTCGGCCCGCGTACTTCATCGACGCCTGTAACAGGTCTGTCCTACTTCACTTTGACCAGATACAGAACGTGAGCGTCGCGCGTGACTCGATGGGAGCACAAGCGTGTGCATGTAACCCCAGCGCCGCCGGGATAGGAGGGAACCCAAAGACTGGCCGGATCGAGTACAACAAAGACGGACGGTGTTTGGCTGTGCAGGTCTCGGGTACCACATGCACGATGTCCAATACGTATGGCTATGTCGTCGACAACCAGCAGACTAGAGACCGCTTCCGGACAAGACCTGTGCGCTTCACCTGTCGAAATGGCTATTCCGATCCTGTTAACGGAGCATTTGGCGTAGCGTCAGATGCATTTTACTTTGGCACCATCACGGGAAGGTTGTATGTGGAAAAGTATGGCATCAGAGCGCTCCCGTACCCACCCCGCATTGTTATTCACTACGGCTCCTGCTACCAAAATGCATTTTGGGATGGCACGGATATGTACTTCGGAGACGGCTGCTCAACTTTGTATCCACTTGTTAGCCAGGACATAGTCGCTCACGAGCTCGCTCACGGCATCACGAGCAGAAACAGCCGCCTCTTTTACTCGCTTCAATCAGGAGGCATCAATGAAGCCTTTTCCGATATTTCTGGGGAGATAGCCGACAAGTTTGGCCACGGCTCCAACGACTGGATGGTTGGCTACGAACTGTATAAAAGAGATAGACCTCTGCGCTACTTCATCAACCCCCCAGACGACGGTCGGTCCATCAGCCACGTGCGAGATTACAGCAGCTCTCTGGGCGTTCACAGCACCAGCGGTATCTACAACCACGCCTTCTACCAGATGGTAGCCATTGAGGGCCTGCCAATCTACCACGCTTACAAGTGTTTCCTGGACTCTAACCTCCAGTGCTGGCAGTCACTGACACAGTTCTGGGAGGGAGCCTGCTGCGTGATGCAGATGTGTTATGACAACGGTTATGATGTCATTAAGGTACGGTCGGCCTTCTCCAGGGTGGGCATCTACCTGTTTCGGTGCGACTTTGACGGGTTTTCGTCTATCGTAAAGTCTGGCGAGACGAGACGAGAGATCTTGGTGTCGGCGACACGTAACCCCATTCTGGCGGTGGAGAACGCGGGCGATGGCCGGGTGTCTGTCACAGCTGAGGCGCAGGATCTCTTCTCGACCGTCGATATCGAAGTGGTGGAAGACGCCGGAGGGGAAGTCGTGTTGGTCTCCGGATCGGGTTCCGTGGATGTGGAGAGTGAGCTGGATACGGTCTACGTCAGGCTTTCGTCTCCTAAGGCGGATGATGTTAAAGTTGATATGAAGGTCGCTTAAAAAGGAAAGTCTATAATTACACACAGAATACGGCTATCGTGGAGTACGGCTGTCGACATCGAACATTTCCTTAGGCGTCACATGACAGCGACACAGACAGAGCTTGAAATTTGATAAGGTTCACTAATGAATAATTACAGCTATAGTCACTGATTTTGGACTCCGAATGACGTCACTCGCAACTCCAATGCTTCCTTGTCCTATCTCCATTTCTAATAACAGTGAAAACAGTTCATAACAAAGAGTGAGCTTAAGAAGATGTCACATTTTCACTGTTAAAAAATTATGGAGATACGACAAGAAAGCACTGAGGTCGCGCACTAGTGAATTTTTGTGTATGACCAATCAACATCCTCTGTGCAGTCAAGACATAAAATATTCAGGAATCGTTGTTTCGAAGCAATTATCATGATACAATCGCGTTATCAATCGAACTTATTATGAAGATCTATTAGCGTAAATTTTGTGTGCCCTGACAAAAACGCATTTTCAAAGGACTTTTCTTTTTTCCTCGTTGAATTCTACACTTTGGAGATAGAGACTTGAAAGATGTCGTCAGCGAATCGCTTATAAGCCTGGATGACGTTGGTCGCTTTTAAGCACAAGGGGACTATCCTGAAAAATGCTGTTTTTAGAAAATCGAAGGTAAAATTTTTGGACCCTTGTTCTGTTACTTTAAAAGACAAGGAGAGTTTTCTCTGTATCCAAACAAATTATATACACACACCAATGAAACCAAACTTCTCCTATAGGTAGGGCAATGCTCACTGTCGGTGTATGTCAAGATATCTGGAAACCCCCGAAATTTGGGTTAGCCCGCTTGTCCTTAAAATCGACCATAATTTGACTTTGCCAGTCTGGTAGCATGGACTCTCCAGGGCCGCGTTTCTCTTCCAGAAGCTTGCGGCGAGTGTTGTGAGTTTTATATTTTATTATAACCGTTTTCATTTCTTTTTAATAGATGTTAAACTACTTGTAGCTCCTGCTTTTGTTGTCTATGAGAGAAAGACAGAGAGCGACAGAGAGAGAGAGAGAGAGAGAGAGAGGG